AGTCTTTCACAGTCTCTCAGTTATTGCCTAGGTGTTTTTATGGATCTCTCACAGTCTCTGTATGAGAGACTCGAACGATAAAATTGTTAATTCAGAGATTCGAGTCTCTCACAGAGAGACTAAATGAATAAAACTGAAAAATTGAGAGACTCAAGTCTTTCGTAGAAAGACTGGGATCTCTGAAATAAGTTGAACTTTTAAACTTGTAAATTTTAACCATGTCTATCGAGACACCACTTATTGAGAGATTCGAGTCTCTTGTTCAGAGAATGGATACGAAATGAGGATCTCTCTATGAGCGACTCGAGTCTCTCGTTCAGAGACGCTAAACAGTTTTGTGACAGTCTCTCGGCGACACCAGAGGGACTCCATGAGAGACAGAGACTCGAGTCTCGCTTTCAGAGACATTTTTATCTCGGGATATTCCCTATAACGACTGTCGTGAGTTAAAGTGGGCGTTCTTTCAGCAGCCTCTCTAGTCTAGTTAGTAAGTTGAAAGAAGAATGTGAGAGTTTCATTGCGGACAATGCCAATTTTAAACGTCCTAAATACAATTATGTACGTATCGTTGTTGTTGCTGAGGTCACCTCTCGCAGCTTTGTGGTACAAGCAACAATTTTCCCTTATTAATTTGTGGTTATCTATAGTAGTAAAAATTAATTCACTTTAATGTATTAAGTTATACGTAAGTTATACTTAAAAGTGTTTTTAAGGAAACTCTCCAGCTGGAAATCCATAATTAATCAATTAATGACCATAGGCGCAATTGTAAATGTCGTCTTCTAGACTTTCCACTAATTGTTGGTTTATTAATATTCAACAAGACCCTTTTTAATAAAGACTATGGACTTGTGAAAGTGAAAATGCGTAGCTACCTACGTAATATTAGGTCACGCACATCCAACAAAACAATAATAAACTCTATATTTTTGAATGCGTACTTTTTTATTGCGCAGTGGACGACCGAGCACAACCTGCTTACTTTCTTAAGGCTTGCGCTATTAAGAAAGTAAAGTAAAAGCTAAGTAATTTCTATTCTGAAAAAGAGAAGAGAATTAAGTTAATTTTTACTTTATGTAAATGAGTTTTACGAATGAGTAAAACTGGCATTTTTGTAAAAACTAAGCCATAACTTTTAGTAATCAAGCATTCCCATATTTCCATGAAATGGACATCTGTACAGAAAAATGGAAAATGAAACTGCCGAGCAATAAACTTGATGATTTAAACGAATAGGAAATGGAGTTTCGGCAGCATTTATTTAAAATTCTATTTGTTTCTGTGCTTCGGATTAATGTATATTAATGCTGCGTTTAATAATCCGGCTCAATTTTTTACGTTTCAAGCTCGTTATTCATTTTTAATTAATGCTTGAAAGCATTTAATCGAGTACCTATCCCAAATGTAGAAGTTAATAAGTGTAGCTTATTCTGAATTGAATATTTTATGGATTTGCAGATAAAATTAAACAAACGATAATAAAATAATTTGACTTTCATTAATTTTTCCATGCTACCCTACCGGTTGGAGTTTTACCTAATTTAGTTAGAAAAATCTACATATACCGTAACTACTCTGTTATTTAAAGAAAAAAATGTGCGTACCTTTCCAAACAAACTATTGACATGCTTACTTATTTAAACTTCCATAAAAGTTCAGACAGGGATGCACACTGTCATCACTACTTTTTACTCAGGCGGAAAAGAAAAGCTTAGAAGCGTTTTAAATGTGGTGTTACAGGCGAATGATGAGGATACCGTAGATAGAGAAGCTTAGAAATGAAGTGGTATTAGAAAGAATAGGGGAAGAGAGGACTCTATGGAAGTCAATAAGAGATAGGCGAGATTAGTTGGTAGGACACCTTCTCAGGCATGAAAGTCTAGTCAAAGACAGAAACAAGTCAAGAAGCAGAAAAAGGAGTTAGGAGGAGTAGAGGTAGACCTGGATTATATTACTGTTCACAGGATGTGGGATGTTCTAGTTTTAGGGAAATGCGAAGGTTAGCTCAAGATAGGAACGAGTGGAGGTGCGTGTCCAACCAGTCTTAGGACTGACGACCATATGATGACGATGAAAAGTTTGGGACAATTGTATTTATAAGGGTAGAGGCAATTTTCACCTACTTCACTGTATCATAAGAAAATTGGTGTGAACGTCAGAAATTAGTACTTGATTTCGTAGAAATCGTTTTGAACAACAGAAGAGAAAAGAATATTGAACCTTCAGAATTTGGAGTGATGTGTACTGTTATATATATATATATATTTTTTTTTATCGTAGCGATCCCCCATATCATAACTTAACCTAAACCTTTGTTGTATAGCCGATCAGGGAATTCTCTCATCATAACATAACGTTAATCCTTGGTGTATTGTACTTTACACAAGCCAATTGGGAAAACCACTTTCACTATAGTCTACAAATATCAAGTAGGGAATCCTTTCCCATCATATCTTAAACTAGTAGACACCACACAACCCCCAATGCATGGCACATTTCACAGGTCAATTAAGGAATTCTTTTTCGCCATAACCTAACTTAAGCCCATACGTCTGTAGCACTTCACACGCCAATCAGAGAAATCTTTTCATAACGTCAATCGTTGGTAAATTGCACTTCACACAAGCCAATAAGGGGGTCCTGCCTCACCATAACCTAAATTAGGCTCAAAGTGGATAGCAACTTCATACATGTAAACCAGAATTTCTCGACACTGTAGCAGAATATATTAAGCTATTTCGCTTGTAGAAATATATAACCAAATGTATTTCCGAAATAAAATAGTTAAAAATTTCCATGTTCCCTATTTTATTTATTTTCTAAATTTTAAATGTAGGTGTGTCTATGGTAGTAACCCACGTATATATATTGTTAGTCCAGTTGCTCTGCGGCTTAATTATGAAGATTATTTATTGATCTTGTAGCTTCTGACTCACCAGCTACTACGCAATGTACCTACGTACTTTTGTTTGCTCTTGACGAAGTTCATAAAGTAAGTAGTTTGGCAAACTCATGGAACTGTTATCAAAATAGGGTACTGGGTACCCTTTGGACAACACAATACCATAGCAAACAAAGGTAAGCACCGTCCAGCATCCTGCTCTTAGTTTATATAGCACAGAACTGCATTTGTTGTGCTCCCCTTGTTTGAGAGAGAGAACACTCAACATGCACCCTTAACTTGTTTGAAGAAAGGGGGAGAAATTTAAGAAAATTACACAGGTCTGCGAAATTTTTTTTTTGAAAAGTTTTTTCTTAAATTGTTAATATTTGTCGTAATTGTCTTAAAAATAATAGAAAACGATATTCATATGGTGTATACCACGTCACATTAACCCATAAATGCTCAGAGAACACATTTCCATTTGAACCCTTGCCACGTAATGAGTGCGACGAAAAAATATTCGATAACCAGTGTTTCTATGTTTTTAACGATGCTCTTTTCGATGGTGTTGGTTAAAAATACCTCCGACAATATTAAAGCATGAAAAGATCGAAAAAAAAAAAAAAAACGTGATTTTTGAATTGACTTTTTTCTTAAAAAGTAATTTTTTGTGTCCTTACGATTTTTTTATATGCTTAAAACCTATATAAATCATGACCTCGATATCTAAACATGAAATAATCACCGTTGGTCAAGTCGAAATGCCTTTACAAACTGTTTGATCAAACCAAGTTTAATGTAAAGTGGTGGAAGCAATACTTTCTTCTTTCAAACTCGTATTGATGACATTTTTCACTCCGACTTCCAATTGCATTCTAATTTGGACATAGAAATACCGAATAACAATGATTTTGATTTACCATAAGTCCACTGTCTTAACACTTCAACACATAACCGGCATATTTTATCGTAACCCAGTGTTTATCTTGGTGACAACTTCATTCTGAAGTAAGCTTAATAAGCATTTTTTACAAAGTTTGTTATATTCAATCTTTGCTTAACTATTGTATATTGTCTGCAAATGTAAAAAAATACATTTGAATTGTTTTAACAACTCCGAGAAGCCATAGTTAAAGATAAATGAAACACAATCTTTTATTACACGTTAATATTCTCTCTCAATAATGACGCGCTATAAACTATTTTTTTTTTCAGGCGGTGTAAACGACTATAGTTACTTTCAGACTATCTAAAATAAAGTAAAAGACAATATAATGCTCAGTCAGAGAGTATTAGATAGAAATATAAACTATAAAATGTGAAAAAATAAATAAATTTGCCCATTCAAAGAGCTACATATATATACATATATTAATCTACATACAAAAAACAATGTGACGTGATACGTTAAACCAAAGTCTATATTTGGAAATTATAGACCAACATTTGCATGCTTAAGATAAATTTATACAAAAAACTTTTTTATCGCAGACCTGTGTTATTAATCTATACTATGCGCAGCAATATTTAATTTATATATGAATGTGAAAACAAAATCCACAAAATCATGTTCGAATGTTATTTTTGAACTGCTACGTTAAGGAATCTGTTATTAGAATCTAATTCTTCATGAGTTGTCGTCTATATACTACTGCTGCTTCCTCATTGAAAAAGCACAAAATTCGCGATAGTTTTTGAACATACCTCGTACTTAGGTAGTTGTGATTCTGCAAAAATAGGTTTTTGGTAAACATACTTCAGTATCTGATAGCGACATATACTTTTCGGAATGCAATCGATCAAACGATTCAAAACAAACGAACTCCTTTCAAAGATCTTTGTTTTTACACTACCCTTTTATGGGTATGTTTTGCTGATGTGTGTATGTAGCCGCTAGTTACATATAACTCGTTAACTTTCCACACAGGCGAATTCTTTTCTTGTCTTTTATCATTATTTACTTTGTTACAGTGATACCGGCGTTCGTCAGACTAATTGGAAGTAATGGCCGGAGTTTGGGAAACGAGTCTATATTAGGTCCAATTAACGAGGGAACTAATATTGAAATAACGTGTGAAGCGAATGGTGGCAGGCCTGTCCCTAAAGTCATTTGGTACAATGGAAGCAAAGAAATCGAAGGTAAGTCAATAAATAAAGTCAACATTAATTGAGCTGTAGCCAACCACGAAAATACGTAAAACTGGCGAACGTACAATGTTGTCAGATAGCTTTACGAAAAACATGTTCTAATCTCCAAATTAATTAGTTAAGAATNTACTAGAATCAGTGTGACGTTGCTTCGAGAGTAGAAGGCGTACTACAATAGTTCTGGTATATACGAGCCGTATTCCAGTGAAGTGAGCCCAACTATTGAAAACACTTTCTTTTTTCAAAATCTTTCATATTAAAGAAGATATCCGTAAAATTTAACACCAGTTTACAGTAATATGTAAATTGCTTATCAGCTTGTAATATATTAAACTAAATTTTAACTAATCAAGAAAGGGTAATTAACATTGTTAGTGATATCGTAGCACTTTTTCCTGACGAATATATGCAGTACCAGCTCTCTAATGAAAATAAGTAAGCAATTTCTGCCCCGTGAATTAACAAAACAACCCAAGCCAACGACTGAGTGCGAAAGTTGAAATATGAGTTAATAATAATAATTCCTTAAATGAAGAGAGCCCAAAAAAATCTAAACTCCTTGGAAACGGGTAATCTAAAATATTGGATCGATATTGCTTTCCGGGTTCAATGTCATGGTCCGTGGAATTTTGAAGTTCCTAATTGATATAAGCATGAGTCTATAAAATTTTATGACGATCGAGTAGTTAAGGTGTGAAATCTTTTGTGAACAATGTTGTTTTTCTAGATAAAAAGTACCCTGTGTCCTTTTCGGTACCCCTGAAGATGTGTGTACAAAATTTTATGGTGATCGGTTGAGTAGTTAAAGCGTGAAAAACACACAAACAAACTTATATTCGCCATTAATTACATGAGAATGTCCCTTTTAATTACATGCTTGTGAACGAAAACTTTTGACGTGTACCTACCTCACCCTGTCTACTAATTTCTTTGAATTTTTGTCTTATTTTACAATGTGCTTAACTTTAAAAACCTTTTTCCTTCAATAACGTTTCTATAGAGAAGATTCACTCCTGTCCACTCACCAGTTACATAAAGACTAATCATTAAATACGTTAAAAATTAAGTAATTAATATTTCTATGTGAACGTCTATATTACTAAACTTTCTGCCATTTTCGACCACATGTCATAGAGGCAAATGGCGTCATACTACGTTATTATTGACATATTTTTTTGAAATACACGTGGATGCATATGTTTTTGCAATATCAATTGCTGATTATATGATTAATTTATTTCTAGTTACCTCTCGGCGATCGTCTCTTCCTTTAAATACTGTTTTGTTTCCTTTCTGGAACCCTCTAGAAACATCCGGACCGTTTCGTTTTTCTTTGAACTGTTTAACTGCTTTCCCAGAACGCAGGTACGACACACACATTTACAAATACAGGGCACGTGAAGAAAGGCGCCCGCGGCTAATCGGCGAATCGATAAGCCGTCCACCCACATGTATGCCCGATCGCACACAAACACGCTCGTGCTCCCTATAATATTCTGTCGAGTTGAGTGTATTGTATCTCTTTTTCGAATGAACAGTTGTAAACAATAATTCATACAATCCTGGATTTCAAAAGGAATAAGTAATTAGACTAATGTAACTCACATAATTATACGCGGTTTCCAAGATGCACTTTAGTAATCATCAACGAAGCTGTTTAAATTGAAACAACCCCTGGCCATGGTCTGATCAGCTTACGGAAGTGCACATATTTGTAACTGTCTAGGTTTCGCCTACTCTGTTTGTTAACCTTATTTGTCCTCTGAATGAAACTGGCAAAATTTGTAAATTGCACTAACATGTTACGACTGGAGGTTGTCAGTAAATGCTTAGCCGCTTCTATTATCAACGCTTCAGAGGTTTGGGGTTCGCGTTCGTCTCGATTTCGAACTGCATCTACAAAATTACAACAGTGACGGATAGAACGTTTTACTGTCCTTTAGTATTCTATTAAGTTTGACCAAAAGTTGAACTTACCGCAAAATATCTAGCAACTTAGGTAATTTGTCCACGAATAATTTAGTTTGCTGTTGTTATCGATTACAAGTCCGCTCATGGATATTTTTAATTCAGTTTTTATCTTTTTCTAATTCAAGGCGCAAACAGACAATAATACAACATGAGAATGGAAGCGACGGATAGATTTAGTAATTTGAGTATCTTTTGATTATTACGAATATGATTTCAGAATTCAAAAATTGAAATATATTAATTCGCTAGCAGAAATTAATATTGTTTCTCCATAAAACCGTTTAACTCCCAATTCACACTTACAACGTTTTAATTGTATGTAATGTCGCCATCTTAGATTTCAAACACAAACGTAGCAACAGCAATTTCATCCTTAAGGGTTGATTTTTAAAAATTGCCAAAACACGTCTTTGCTTAATTTCAATAATGAGCAACCTTCGAGTAAATCCGAGTGCAAATAAAATATACCCCATGGAAACGTTGCAACCTTTTTGCATTTGATTAATAATATCAAACAGCATATATACCAAGTTTCAAGTAAATTCAACCACAAATAAAGTATGTCCCAAACAAAAATTGCAACGCCTTTTTAGCCCCCCCCCTTTGGAGGCTGAATTTTTTAAAATTTCGAGATAGGTCTTTCAGACATTAAATGAGGGACTATTAACCAAGTTTGAAGTAAATCTGACAATAAATAATATATGTTCGATTGAAAGATTTCAACTCCTCTTCACCACCCCTCCCCCCCAAGGGAACAGGATAAAAAGTATCCTATGTCCGTCTCCTAGTTGTAAGCTATCTCCCCATTAATTTTCAGCCAAATCGGTTCAGCCGTTCTTGAATTATAAATAGTGTAACTAAAACGACTTTCTTTTATATACGTATATATAGATAGATGTATTACAAAAGAATCTATCTTCTTAAAGTAGGAAATCCTATTATTGACCATTATGTGGCAAACTTAATCTAAGCTAACACAACTTCCCTTATCGAAAACTGATTTTATTTAATTGCTATGGATCATATCGTTACAACAGGAAATACAACAAGAAGGTAGTGAGGGTTGTATATTTTCTATATTACATTTTTGTACCAAAATGAACCAACAAGTGTAGATATTTATAATTTTAACTCCTGTGATATCTATGATGAGATTTTTTGGAAATTGTTCGTGATAAAGAAAAAATAATGTCATTTTATTTTTTTTTATAATCCTAGTACATTTATTTAGCTTCTCCTTTTAGTTCTGCATATACGCAAAGCCATTTTATAGTTAATCATAATACTAACAATGAATGAAAAGGGGATGCAGTTATGTAACATTCGTCTATGTGTTGGTTAAACTAAATTTTTAAAAATTGTCCATTTGTAACTTTGCTACTTAGAAAAGTAAATATTACATGGCTGAATTTGGTCCATTTTACGGAATAACACTTCAAGTCTCAAACAATAGCTTCTTTTGCTTATGGTATCTTGAATGGTAACTTAAAATTATTGGACATTTCGATAGACGTATTGGCAGTGTTTCTATAGAGAATCAAGACATAAACACTTTTGGCCAAATATAGCACGAAGAATTCAATAAAACGAAATAGAAAAGGGCGTTCTCTGCCAACGGAGATGCAGTTCCACGTCTAGTAAATTACTTGAATTGCATTCCTGTACAAAATATGTACCTATGTAACACCATAAAGTAAATACTTGACATAAACAGAGTCTCAAAAATACAATAGACACACAGATAAAAAAGTGAAAACCTTAGAAATGCATTTTCCGTTTTATTGTGCTTTTATAACCACAATATGACGGTACAAATTAACAATCAGCTGGAAAGTTGTAAACACCTCTTAAGATATAATCTTATAATTGGATAGAGTTTATTCTCAATGCGGTTTAAGATAATATGCAGTTAAAACGGATTACGTAATTGGTTTTTGCAATTAAACAAATTATTATAAATTTACATATTTAATGTAACGCCCTTTTCTAAAATAAACAAAAGTACCGGTATGCAAGGGAAGAAAAAGTAGGTAAAAAGCGAATATAAAGATAGCAGACGAAAAATTAAAAAAATTGCCTGATTTTAGGTATCTAGGAAAACAGATAAGTCAGGACGGAAGGAGTAGTAGGGGTCAAGTCACCTTCAATAAAAAGAAGTTACCTATATCTATGCTCGCGATTAATTTAGAATTTAGAAAAAGATTGTTAAAGGTGTTTGGAGCGCGACACTATACGGGTGCAAAACATGGACGCTGGGCGCTGCGGAATAGAAAAGGTTAGAAGCGTTCGAAATGTGGTGTTATAGGCTAATGATGAGGATAACGTGGATAGAAAAGGTTAGAAAATGAAGAGGTATTAGTAAGAGAACAGAAAACAACTGAAAACCCGTCATGTAAGTCAATAAGAAGTAGGCGAGACAGGTTGGTAGGACACCTCCTCAGACATGAAAATCTAATAGATTTAGTCAAAGACACATTATTACTTTGTATGTATCATAAATATAACAAATAAAATTAAGTAAATAACGATTCTCATAAAAATAGACATTTGGCGAAATTTATGGGACTTGCGACTTCTCCTTATCATCCAAATTTTGAGGTTAAGAAGTATGAAAATGCTATCACAAAGTTTCTTTTAGCAATGGGTACACTGGAAAAATTAATAATATCTCAAACATTTCATCATCATTATGTCGTCAGTTCTAAGACTGGTTGAACATGCACCTTCACCACTTCCGATTCTGAGTTAATCTTCGCGTTTCTCTAAAAGAAAAACCATATCCTTAACTGTTTGTGAACAGTAATCTAATTAAGTCTACCTCTACACCTCCTAACTCCCGTTTATGCCTCTAATATGTCTCTGACTAGACCTTCATTCCTGAGTGTGGTGCTGAGGTGTCATACCAACCTATCTCGCCTATTTCTTATTGACTTCCATAGAGTCCTCTGTTCTCCTACTCTTTCTAATACTTCTTCATTTCTAACCTTCTGTATCCATTGTATCCTCCTCATTCGCCTACA